GATATGCCCCTGAGTCCTGATTATCATGCCAGAGTGGGAAATCATGTAATCTTTGTTGTGCAAGTGGTAATGTTTTCTAATGTCTCTAGTGAAAGCTTTAACCCCAAACTTTCGGTGCAAAATGCCTCAGTAACTTGCATAGAATCCCAAGAACTATCCCAAATTAATTTTGTAATGAACAGCCAACGATGAAGAAACCAAAGAGAGGCAAAATTCACTTAGAACTAGAACCAGAAGAAACTAAATGTTTGCAAATTTATCATATCCCAAAAGTCCTGGCTGAAAGCCCTGCCTGCTCCAAGATCCCCATTCAAAACTAAATGCTATCCACAGTACAAATATAAATTAATCCCAGATGGGTTAACTCATGGAAATCCATGGATTTTTAAATAAAGACTTAATTGAATAAACCACAATTGGTTGAATTCATACAACATGCTGAGCCCTATACCAGAGTTTATAAACCACAGTGGCTGGATTTTCACAACTCTTGAAGGTAAAACCAAACATAACAAACAGCTACATAACCATGTAGCTAAGTGAACTTATTCACTGAAATGTGCTTTGCTTGTATTTCCTTAGCCAATCTGGCTCTATTTTAAAGGAAAGTACTCAATATTTATCTGATTTTTCAAAATGTAGTTAATGGATGTTGAATTGCTTGTATTTTGTGGGCAACATCTCCTCCTCTACCCAAAGCCATATGGTATTTTGGACACATGTGTGTTGTTGGCCCTATTTCAGGAGAGTTACTTCTTCTTCTTCAGCAACAATCACCTTCTCAAATGTCCAGCAGACACTGAATGTCCACATAGGCTGAACTTTAGTATTCCTGACATTAGAAAAGTCCTCTGTTGAAGAATTAGTGAATGAATGGCCCCTGGAAATCTGGTTGCTAATTCCCATTGAGCACTGATATATATGATGCATTTATTTATTGCATCATATCCACTGTAATTAATTCAACCCTCGGTTGTTTAAATGATCACTGAAATGTAATAATTTTTTGCATACATACATACAAACATGCTGTGGCCTGCATTCCACCAACTAGGAGATATATGTGGTATACTGACTCAGTGGCACAACTAAAATATTTATGGAATCAGCCTTTTTTATGTTAAACAAAAATGTCGATCTTTTTGTTGCCCTGGGAAAGTAAAAGTGAAGGGCAGTATATTTGCCCCCATCTGTCAGTCAGGAGAGCAGGGAAGTCTCATCCCCTGCTTTTCTGCCTACCTCTTCCTGAAATGTTTGAAAAAGAGGGATGTACTATTACCCACACAGGGAACTTTTTTTCCCCCGCTATCTTCTTTAGGAATCAATTCACATGTTTATGCTTTATGTGCATAAGGCTCAGTTTTCACAGATATCTAAATTACAACCCATATTTTTCAAAGTCTTCTGAAAAAACAGGAACATGATATTGATCATACACACACTTGCATGATATTCAGGAGGATGGAAAGAAGCTGTGCATATCACTTGCACATTTCATTTATTTATTTTACAATATTTAAAACCAGCCCAAATCCTGATGAACTCTGGGCAGGGTGCAACAAAGTAAAAAGCAAAAAACAAAAATAGACAGCTAAAATTATATTATAAAAACACATCAATAAACATAATAGGTGCCATAACTAATTTAAGAGCCAAATGCACATGGAGACTAAATTGCTTTGGTTTGTTTTTTTAATAATAATTTTATTACAGTTTACAATTGCAGAGATAAAAAACTAATATAAGCGAAGAAAAATATAAAAGAGTGAAAAGAAAAAAGTATAGTAAGGAAAAAAGAAAAAAATGTATAAAGAAATTACTTCCCCCTTCATCACAAGTACAAACAATAGCAGTAACTTATCACCTTCTCTGATACTACAACAAAATATCTGTTCTTCCCATATCTCATCTCTTATCTATAAACAAATTCTTAAAATCTTGTCATTCAGTCCTAATCAGCAAAAGTCCATTAAGTGTTACCAGAAATAACAATATATATATTTTAACCTTAATCAGATAAAATAACTTTATATTCCTTTACATTACTTTTAACACAGTAACTTATCATTTTCTTTGAAAATACAACAATCTCTTTTTCCCATATCCCATCTCTTATTTATAAACAAATCTTTAAAGCCTTGTCATTCGGTCCTGATCAGCAAAAATCCATTAAGAGTTACCGGAAACAACAACATATGTATTTTAATCATGATCAGATAAACCAACTTTATATTCCTTCCCTTTGCTTTTAACAATTTTAATTTTTAATCCCTTTAAATAGTGTCCCAGAACTTGATTTCTTTTCATTTTCTCTTTGTCTCTTCTCAGAAAATCTTTAAAAACTTTAACATATCTCTTTTGTAAATCCAAAATAAGAAAGTTATCCAAGTCACTCTTCTGATTTATTTGTATATCCCTTTTAATTATTAAGACATCAACCGGTTTCATTTATATATCCAGTGTAACATCTTTTTCCATATCATTCTTGTAACCTGTCATTTTTAAATCCACATTCCAATCAGCCTCAGTCTAAGTCTTGTCCATTAAAACTTGTTCCTCTTCTATGACCTCTTTTAAATCCAGTTTTATGATAGCAGACTATATTAAGAATAACTTCTGAGTACATTGTTCCCAAATATCCTTGAATTTGTCCAAAGTTAGAGTATTTTGCTCCATTCTGTATTAGTGGATCTCTTCTCCTTTAATTATAATCTTTAATTCTTTCTGGTTCCTTCTAGTGTCTAACCTTCAAAGTCCCATCTTATCATTTTTTTTTCTAGTCAATGGGAAATTTTCCCACAGGAAGGTTTCTTATACTTAGTTTCAAAATCTTACTTCACATCCATCTGGTCCTTTAGTCTGTTTCTAACTTTCTAAAATCAAGGTTCTAATCACCCTTTTGCTGTTTATTCCAAAATAAGAATTTTTAAAGACCTTAAACTTGCATAACACTTATTTTGCTAAGGATTGAAGGAGACTTACTGGGTGTAATGAAACTTGCCATTCTGAAGGTTCCTAATATCTAAAAAAGTTAACAGCAATTTCCAGAAGTGATTAAGGAATTATGTGAACCCTGTGTCCATAAAGGCGCCGACCACACCTTAGGCAAAGATGGCGATCCCTCAGCTCCTGGAACTCTAAACCCACCGGAGACTGTTGTCTTATGGTCTCCTCACTGGGAGCTACTGTCTGGAGCACTTGTGGATGATCCTGAGTCCTCTCCTTGTCCAGCAGAGCCGTCTTCAGTTCATCACTGCTTTGGCTTCTTTATGAAATGCCAGTAGGGTCAGGGCCATTCAAATCTCTGGGAAGAGAGTATTCCATAAAATGGAGCTGCCACTGAGAAGGCCTGGCCCATGCCCCAAGTTCCTTACAAGAAGAGGGGACTGAGACAGTCTCTATTAACTTCCTTGTAATGAGAAAAGTAAATCTTGCATTGCCAAAGGATTCTGATTTGTTATTTTTCTTGCATTTTTGAAATATACATATATACAGTGTGTGTGTGTGTAATTTTTAGCCCACATCTTCCATTCTAAATACTTTTAAGGTAATCAACAACATAATTAAAATGTGGAGATTTTATGCAGGAAGCAGAGACTTATGGGGAGAAACAGATAAGAAAGAAAGGTCATCTTAACACTTGCTGTTCAAACTGAGAATTAAATAGAAGAAAATTCAAGTTCAGTGGCTGTAAAACTAAAAAGGTGGCTGAGTTCATATGCATACTATGCCATAACATGGGTTGCTGTCTGTGATTAAGCATTTTGCATGCTCCCATGCATGTATTCAGTAAATCATGATTAAGCAAATCATGGTTGTATGGTGTGAACCCATCTGGTGTTTGCAATGCCTGAATTCCTATTACATAGTGAACTTTACACTATATCCTTTCTGTGTAATCCTAAGCATATTTTACTTAATATCAGGGTCCACGGTATTCAGTGGAGTTTATTTACAAATAATTGTATTTAAGATAAAGGCCCTATCCCTATTCTGGCATGTCAGCAACCAGAGAGAATAACCTCGAGTCTAAATGGATGTTGTTGTTTCTAGGTGAGTTGGTACTCCTTGGCAGAGCAGGAAGAACTGCAACAGCTTACTTTTAAGCACGTGGTTGCACTTTTCTGTTGGAGAGCATTGCGCATTTTCCTCTCGATCTACAGCGATTTAAGAAAGAATTATTCTGGTAACTCTCATCTAGCCCCTTGTAACTCTCCGATACCGCCCAGAGTCGTTGAGAGTCGGGCGGCACACAAGTTTAATACATTATTAAATAATTATTATCAGCTTAATTTATTTGCTAGAAATAGTCATGAACCGAACAGAATGGGAGCCCACACCTGAATCGTGGTTAACAACCGGGAAGGAACGGAATGATAGAACGTCCCTTTAACAAGCTCACCCACCCCACCCCACCTCTCCTCCTTACTTAC